TTTTTGGACATAAATTCTTCCCCAATAAAAAGAGCCTAAAGGTAATTTCTTCCTTGCTTTCCTAATTTATTTATGGCATCATCTTTTATGTCTATCATTTAGAACTGATCTTAATAGATAGTGTGAGATGTTGATTTACATTTAATTTCTGGATTTCCCAGTGGTTGTTGTCATATATTCAGACCTCATCCCAGTAAATCAGGTCTTTGTTTCTATCAAACACTACACCACTGTGTTTGGTTCCTTCTATGTGTTGTGTATCTAATATGTTCCACAAGTCAACTTCTCTATTTCTTAACCAAAAAAAAATTATTTTGATGATTTCTGTATTGTAGTGTACTTGAGAACTCCTCGTACCAGCCACTTTTTTGCTATTTTTTTCCTTTGAAAATATTGAACATTCGCTCCTTTATATGAATTTCGTTATTATTTTCCTAGTTGCATAAATAATCCTTTGGTAGTTGGATGTGTACAGCACTGAATAAATTAATCCCTGTAGGAAGTACTGTCATTTTTATTATTCTGGCATAGCCTTCTCATGAGCAGTTAGTATTTCTCTTTCTAATTTGGTCTTTATTCCTGTAAAGAATGTTTTGTAGTTGTATTCATGGAGTTCTCTGTATATATCTTGATAGAAGCCCAAGTACTTTTTTAATCTGCATTTAATTTCAATGGATTTTCTCTCCAGCTCCTCCTGCTGAACTTTGTCAGTAATATACAAACATGCTGAAGATTTAAGTGGACTTAATTTATACCTTGCAAATTTTCTGATGTTATTGATTCTATTAAATTTAGTTGATTCTTTGGAGTTCTCTAGATAGTTCATTAAATCACCTACAGAATCTTTTGATGGTTTGAAGTAAATGAATAGTGTCAACTTAAACATTTAAGTGAAAGTACTCAACGATTGGATTTCATTAATTATTTCACGTTACCATGTCCTCAACTTCATCTTCTGTCACAGAACAGCGTTTGGTTTTACTTGGCTAGATCAGAGTTCTCCTACATTTTTTGGTCACATACTCCTGATGTGAAAAAAATTTTGAGCAACTATTCTTAAGAGGCTTACTCATATTTACTTATTGATAAATTATATATGAGATTAATTCTGGACATTATTAAAACTTAAGCAAAAAAATAAATTTAAAGAGAATGAGAGAAAAGTGAAACATTATTCTAGAGTCAATAGAAAATCTTCCTCTATAATTTATTGAAAAGTGAAGTGACATGGTCAGATCTGTATTTTAGGAAAAGCACTTTGTCAGCTATGTGGAGAATGAATTAAAGAGAGGTGACTACTGCAATTATACAGGAAAGAACTTACAAGAGCCTGAAGTATAGTGGTGGCCATGTAAGTGTAGAGGGGGTAGAAGCAAGGGATATTCTAGAGATAGAAAAGACAGGATTTGGCAACTGACTGAATTTGTATTGTGAAGGAAAGCAAGACATCAAGGATAACACCAACATTGGAAACCTGGATGATTGGCTGGATAAGGAAATTTGAGAGTGGTGGCTTTGGGAGAAAGATAGTCACAGGCACAACTGATCTCCCCTCACTGTGCCTTTGTAGAAGCTATCTTCATACTTGGAATGCACCTTCCCACCTTCACAAGCTTCCTTTCCCCTCTGATTTGGGGGCTGGAAGATAGAATACTAAACTCCACCCAAAGATTTCCTTTATGAGGGCAAAACCTGGATTTGCAGTTCACTTCACCTTCCATCTTACTCTTCTCTGTTTGGTCCTAACTTTAGGCATCTAAAGTAGCAGATTCTTGAATTTATCCTTTGTTTTTACCATTGAATTTCTGTCATGTATTTGTCTTATTGAGAAGAGACTGTCAATTTGCAGTGCATTGTATACTGTGTTTCCTTTATGTAGCTTGTATGTCTACATGGGTCTGCCTAAATGTGGCTTCAAGGAAAACATGAATCTCAAGAGCATTCTTCACCCACCGTTGTCCAAGTGAAACTGATTCCTGCCAGGAGAAGATTAGGAGGTTGGAGCCAGAGGTTAGCTATTGTTCTTTTCTCAGAGAAAGGTGATTGGGCTAGAATATTGGTCTGCCCTACAACCCCACCCCAGTACTATTAGTCAAGAGGAAATAAGTTCTGGCTTTAAGCTGAATTTCTTTTTCTTTTTCTTTCTTTCTTTCTTTTTTTTGGGGGGGGGCGGCTAGGCAGTGGGGTTAAGTGACTTGCCCAAAGTCACACAGCTAGTAAGTGTTATATGTCTGTCAGATTTGAACTTAGGTCCTCCTAAATCCAGGACCAGTGCTATATCCACTGTGCCACCTAGCTGTCCCCTCCAACTGAATTTTTAATCACTATCCCTTAAAAAGAATGGATTACTCCAGCTATATATCCAAGGCTTGACTCCCTTCTTATCAAATGCCAGTTCCACAATGGACAACATAGCAAATAAATCCATTTATACATAGCAAAAAGAAATCAGAATACACACCAGACAATAAACAAAGTATATAAGCTATCTTCCATTGAGAGTGAGATATCTCAGCTCAACTGTACTTGAGAAAGAGAGTCCCAAATCTCATCCAAAGAAAAATTCCCTGAAATTTCTGGTATAGTAAGCTAGAGATAGGGACATGATCAAAGTGCCAACTTGTCTACATATTGGTTTCTTTTCAGTGTCTTTCCCTTCAGGGATTTGAAGAAAATCTACAACTGTGCATCTCAAAGCTGGAAGCCAGAAGCCTAAGATATCTTTTCACTCTTGCTTTCACAGCTCTGCCTCTCATACAAGTGCATCATTGAGCAATCAGTCTCCACCAATGACATAGGTCTTATGTAAGAGGCACAGGGTATCAATAAAAAGAACATTAGTCTTGGAATCAGAACACCTGAGTTTGAATCTTACTTCTCTGTCTCCTCCTTCTTGCTAAACACACAGGTTTGTTGTTTGATACTTTGTGACCAATGGGAAATTACCAATGGGAGAGGGGGAGGGGAAGAAGAGCTCCAGCTGGAGAAACAAGTTTGGGAAAATCAAGAGATTACAGAAGACTAGCAAACAGGAGACTGATCATTCAGGTGGCTGTCAGAGTGTTGGGTGGTTGGGTGTGGTGGCTGCCTTCACTTTTTGTGGAAGAATCAAATGCATGGAGGAAAGGATGTTTAAGTATCTGGGGTAACTTTTGAGAGAACAGGTGCCACAGACCAGAGGACTTCAAATCATTTCTGATGAAAAGATCAGATCTGATTAGATGCTTTGAAATGTAAAAACAAGAAATAAGGTAAACATGGAAAGGTAAATAAATGTCTTTGAGCAATTGGAAGGGACTATGTAGTTCTTCATAGATCTGACATTGTAATAGGAAGGAAGAAATGTGTCCCTGAAGAGCCTTTATGTCTTCAAAAGGCATTGAGAGAGTTTAAGAAAAACAGATTACCTCAAGCTTGTTGTTCTTATTATTCAGTCATGTCCCACTTTTCTTGACCCCATATGGGGTGGGTTTGTTTGTTTGTTTATTTCCTTGTTTGTTTATTTTTGGCAAAGATACTGGAGTGGTTTTGACATTTCCTTCTCTAGCTCATTTTACAGATGATGAAACTGAGGCAAAGAGAATTGAGTTGACTTGCCCAGGATTACACAGATAGTATAGGTATTGGGAGAATTTTAAGAAAAACAGATTACCTCAGGATAGACTGATTTTACTCTGAAGATTCAAAGAGGGGGAAAAGAAGTAAGAATTAAAGGAATTCAGTAGAGGAATTTACTATTTGTCAAAACTGAGGTTCATGGGAAGAAAAATATGCAAACATGGAGAAAGAAGGGAGCAGGTGTTATATGAATTTCACTTTTTTCTGAAACAAAGAAGAGTTAAGCACATATGCACACACAGTTTGGTCTAACTACATCAGGCTGAAGAGGGAAATGAGTAGGTGCAAGAGGACATATAGTACAGGGAAAAGGAGAGCCTCAAGCTAAACAAACTTCTTAATCCTCAGGTGGCAAGCAAAAGGAAAATTTTAAAAAGACTTAGAATTCAAGAAAGTGTCCATCATGTGGGGAATGGACAACCATATCATAGTATATATTAATGTAATATAATATTATGTCACCATAAGGACGGACAAAAATAGTCTATTTCAGAGAATCTTGTGTAGTATGAAGTGATGTAAAGTAAGCCTAACAAGGAGAGTAATTCATATAAGGACAATGACATTTTAAATAAAAATAACTTTGAAAGATTATGATCAAAACAGTGACCATCCAAGTCTCCAGAGAATCTGTGATGAACCATATTATCTCCTTCTGACAGAAAGGTGAAAGACTCAAGGTGCAGCAAGAGATACATTTTGAACAAGGCCGTATGGGTTCATTTGCACGACTGCTTATTTGAAATCAGATTCTTTTTTTTTTCCCAGTGGAAGAAAGGAGGTTTTGTAATACTGACACAAAGAAAAATCAAAACTTCTTTTAAATGCACAAAAGAGAACAGAAGAAAGCATAGACAAGCAGGACAGTTTTGAAAGTAACCTGTGGGATTTATTATTTACTTTTAAAAAGCAATGGCTATTCATGGTTTTACATATAATCCTTTTCTACTGTGCATATGGAAATGCTTTTTTGGTGTCTTTTTAAAAAGTTATAAATAAATAAACAAATGAATGAATGAAAATAAGCTGGTGGGGGGGGCAGATGACTGATTAAAAGCAGTGACTAGCTTGAGCTCTTCCTCAAATCCCTCCAAAACCTGTACAAAATGACTCTAAAAAAAATTTTAGAGTAGCAGAACCCACAAAAAAGACAGAGTGAAACAAATTTCTAGCACAAGACAACCTGGAAGGTGGACAGGAAAGCTCTGTTGCACCAGGTTAGGAGAGGAGTACGGTTCAGGGTGGACCATGCAGGCAAAGACAGGGCCCAGCAAACCTGGAGCAGGCCTAAGGGGACTGAATCAATGGAAACTATGGTGATTTCCAGACATCTCAACCCACAAACACCAAGGACAACTCAGAAGGTCAGTGGGAAAGGTCTGTCACACCTGGGTGAGAGGAGTGTGGTCCAGCCCTAGTCCTAGTGCAGCCCTGGGCAGCGGCCACAGCAGCAGCAGTTGCTTCTGGAGCTCTCAGCCCACAAATGGTGGGGGATTGAGTGGCTGATCAGAGGTGGACAGACGGGATCTCTTTGCTGGCACTGAGGCAGGATTCTCTTGCTTTGCCCGTACTTAGATCTGGGTCACAGTCCTGGGGCAAGGAGAAGCACTGGTGTGGTGGAGCTGATAACAGTGGTGGAGAGGAAATTTTCCTCACAGTTCCAAGGCAGAAGAGAGTGCTTGCAGTCACTCATAAACCAGAGTACAGGCCAGGAGAGGAGTAAACACCTCTCCTTTGATCATACCATCTTGGAAGACCTGAAAATTTACAGGTCCCTAGAAGTATCTCTGAAAACAGCTACATAAATCCCCTGAAACTTGAGACAGTATACTCTCCACACTGGAAGCAGAGCTCTGCCTTAAGAAAGAGTTTTAAAGTCAAGTAACTGGATGGGAAAATGAACAAACAGCAGGAAAAAAAACCCTCAGATTATTGAATCTTAGTTGATGACAAAAAAAGATCAAAACATATAACCAGAAAAAGACAACAAAGTAAAAGCTCCTACATCCAAAGCCTCCAAGAAAAGTATGAATTGGTTTCAGGCCATGAAAGAGCTCAAATAGGATTTTGAAAAGCAAGTAAGAGAAGTAGAGGAAAAATTGGGAAGAGTGATGCAAGAAAATCATGAAAAATGAGTCAACAGTTTGCCGAAGAAGACCCAAAAAAATACTGAGGAAAATAACACCTTAAAAAATAAACTAACCCAAATGGCAAAAGACGTTCAAAAAGCCAATGAGAAGAATGCCTTAAAAACCGGAACTGGCAAAATGGAAAAGGAGGTACAAAAGCTCACTGAAGGATACAATTCCTTAAAAATTAGAATGGAGCAAATGGAGGCTAATGATTTTATGAGAAATCAAGAAACAATAAAACAAAACCAAAAGAATGAAAAAAAATAGAAGACAAAGTGAAATATCTCATTGGAAAAACAATTGACCTGGAAAATAGATCCATGAGAGATTATTCTAAAATTATTGGACTACCCAAAAGCAATGATTAAAAAAAGAGCATAGACATCACCTTTCAAGAAATTATCAATGAAAACTGCCCTAATATTCTAGAACCAGAGGGTAAAAAAGAAATAGAAAGAATCCACCTCCTGAAAGAGATCCCAAAAGGAAAACTCCTCGGATATTATAGCCAAATTCCAAAGTTCCCAGGTCAAGGAGAAAATATTGTAAGCAGCCAGAAAGAAACATTTTGAGCATTGTGGAAACACAATCAGAATAACACAAGATTTAGCAGCTTCTACATTAAGTGATTGGAGGGCTTTGAATATGATAATCCAGAGGTCTAACTAGCTTTAAAACCAAGAACCACCTTCCCAGCAAAACTGAGTATAAACCTTCATGGAAAAAAAAATGGGTATTCAATGAAATAGAGAACTTTCAAGCATTCTTGATGAAAAGACCATAGCTGAATAGGAAATTTGACTTTCAAATACAAGACTCAAGAGAAGCAAGAAAAGGTGAACAGGAAAGAGAAATCATAAGAGACTTATTAAAGTTGAACTGTTTATATCCTTTCATGGAAAGATGATATTTGTAACTCATGAGACCTTTCTCAGTATTAGGGTAGTTAGAGGGAATATGTGTGTGTGTGTGTGTGTGTGTGTGTATACACACACACACACACATTAAAAAAAGGCAAGAACAAGCTTTTATAATGGAGGAGAAGAGGAGGGAGGTGAGAGGGAATGAGTGAACCTTACTCTCATTGGATTTGGCTTAAGGAGGGAATAACACACACACTCAATTGGGTATGGAAATCTATCTTACTCTACAGGAAAATTGGGAGGAAGGGAATGAGAGAGGGGTGTATGATAGAAGGGAGGGCAGATTGGGGTAGGGGGTAGTCAGAAGCAAACACTTTTGAGGTGGTTCAGGGTGAAAGAAGAGAATAGAATAAATGGGGGGTGGGATAGAATGAAGGGAAACATAGTCTTTCACAACATAACTATTATGGAAGTATTTTGCATGACTACACGTGTATAACCTATGTCAAATTGCTTGCCTTCTCAATGAGGGTGGGTGGGGTGGGAGAGAATTTGGAACTCAAAGTTTTAAAAACAAATGTTAGAAAATGTTTTTATATGCAACTGGGAAATAAGATATACAAGCAGTGGGATATAGAAATCTATCCTGCCCTACAGGGAAATAGAAGGGGAAGAGGATAAGAGAAGGGGGGGGAAGTGATAGAAGGGAGGACAGATTTGGGGAAGGGGTATTCAGAATGCATGCCATCTTGGGTTGGGGAGAGGAGAGAGATGAGGAGAAAATTTGGAACTCAAAATCTTGTGGAAATGAATGTTAAAAATTAAAAATTCATTAAAAAAAGAAAGAAAATAAAATGACTAGACCAATTACAGCTCCATTGACAGTGTATTTGTATTTGTTTGCTTGTTTTCTGCAGCCCCTCTACCAAGAGAAACTTGCTACGAGGATTTTTTTCCCCACCTATTTCTTTTCTTTTCTTTTTTTTTTTTACTGTATTAGTTTTATTTGCAGAAAACTTTTTGTCAATTTTGTCTATCAAAATTGTCCATTTTTATTTTCTATGTTCCTCTTAACCCTTTTCATCATGTACTCTTCAACCACCAATATCTGTGAAAAAATATTTTCCATCTTTTTTTTCAGTCATACTTTTTCGGATGACATTCTTTACTCTTTTTTCTTTTGTATTTCCTTGCTCCTAACATGTAGCCTGCTTCCACCCACCATTTGCCATTCCACTGCCTTCTGACTGAAATTCATTTTTCAGAAATAGCAATATTCCATAACTCACAGCCATATAACAATAGCAGAAGAATATTGGTATTTAAAGCATAGGCTCAGGGGCAGAGCCAAAATGGCAGAGGGAAAGCAATAACTGTTTTGAGCTTCCTCCAAAACCCCTCCAAATACCTAAAAAAATGGCTCTAAACAAATTCTAAAGCAGCAGAACCCACAAAAAGACAGAGTGAAACAAATTTCCAGCCAAAGACAGCCTGGATGGTTGCTCAGAAAGGTATATAGCTCTGGGCGGGGAGAGAAGCGCAGTTCAGTGTGGGCACGCAGGGCACAGCGACCCTAGAGCAGGCCTCAGACGACTGAATCGTGGGTAGCTGTGGTGATTTCCAAACTTCTCAACCCAGGAATGCGAAAGACAACTTAGAAGGTCAGTGGGAAAAGTCTGTGACTGTGGTGAGAGAGGAACTAGGTCTCAGCCACAAGTCTCGAGCCCGGCCTGGGGTAGCGACTGTTTCCTGAGCTTCTGGCCCACAGACAGAGGGGGAATCAAGTGGCTGATCAGAGGGGGATTGCAAGGATCTCTTTGCCAGTGCCGAGGCAGGAATCTCTTGCTTTACCAGTGCTTGGATCTGGGTTGCAGTTTTGAGGGGCAGTCCCGGGGCTAGGAGGAGGGCTGTTGTGGTGAAGCTTGTTGTGGCTGTGGAGAGGAAACACCTCACCCCTTATCATACCACCTTAGAAGAACTGAAAATTTACAGGTCCCTAGAAGTACCTCTGAAAACAGCTGTACAAACCCCCCAAGCTTGGGACAGTACACTCTTCACATTGGAAGCAGACTTTTACCTTAACAAAGAGTTTAAAACTCAAGTAATGGGCTGGGATCATGAGTAAGCAGTGCAAAGAGTCAGACTATATTATCTTATTTTGGTGACAAACAAGATCAAAACATACAACTGGAAGACGACAACAAAGCCAAAGCTCCTATATCCAAAGCCTCCAAGAAAAATATGAATCAGTCCCGGGCCTTGGAAGAGCTCAAAAGGGATTTTGAGAAGCAAGTAAGAGAAGTAGATGAAAAAGTGAGAGTGATGCAAGAAAATCATGAAAAACAAGTCAACAGCTTGCTAAAGGAGATCCCAAAAAATACTGAAGAAAATAATGCCTTAAAAAATAGCCTAACCCAAATGGCAAAAGAGGTCCAAAAAGCCAATGAGGAGAAGAATTCCCTAAGAAGCAAAATTGGCCAAATGGAAAAGGAAGTCCAAAAGCTCACTGACGAAAATATTTCCTTAAAAATTAGAATAGAGCAATTGGAAGCTAGTGACGTTATGAGAAATCAAGACAGTGTAAAACAAATCCAAAAGAATGAAAACTTAGAAAACAATGTGAAATATCTCATTGGAAAAACAACTGATCAGGAAAATAGATCCAGGAGAGAGAATTTAAAAAGTATTGGACTATCTGAAAGCCATGATCAAAAAAAGAGCCTAGACATCATCTTTCAAGAAATTATCAAGGAAAACTACCCTGATATTTTAGAACCAGAGGGCAAAATAGAAATGGAAAGAATCCACTGATCACCTCCTGAAAGAGATCCCCTAAGGAAAACTCCTAGGAATATTGTAGCCAAATTCCAGAGTTCCCAGGTCAAGAAGAAAATATTACAAACAGCCAGAAAGAAACAATTCAAGTACTGTGGAAACACAATCAGAATAACATGAGATTTAGCTGCTTCTACATTAAGGGACCACAGGGCATGGAATATAATATTCTGGCAAGCAAAGGAGATAGGTTTACAATCAAGAATCTCCTACCCAGCAAAAATGAGTATAATCCTGCAGGGGAAAAATTGGTCATTCAGTGAAATAGAGGACTTTCAAGTATTCTTGATGAAAAGACCAGAGTTGAATAGAAAATTTGATTTTCCAATACAAGACTCAAGTGGAACATGAAGAGGTAAACAGGAAAGAGAAATCATAAGAGACTTATTAAGGTTGAACTGTTTGCATTCCTTCATGGAAAGATGATATTTGTAACTCATGAGATCTTCGTCAGTATTAGGGTAGTTGGAGGGGAAAAAATTATATGTACGTAAGTATAGATATAGATAGATGGGGGGCACAGGGTGAGTTGAAAATGAAAGGGTCATATCTGGAGAATAAAATTAAGGGGTGAGAGAGGAATATACTAGGAGAAGGAGAAAGGGAAAGGTAGAACCTGGTAAATTATCCCAC